GCTTTTTTCTTTTTGCTTATGTGGTGCTGAGGAATCGAACCCAGGGCCTCGAGCATGCAAGGCAAGCGCTCTACCACTGAGCCACCTTCCCAGCCCAAGGTTACTGATTCTTTAGAATTGAGATTCCATCTCAGTCCAGTCTGAATGGCCATCAAAAAACAAAAACAAAATGTTGATGAGGATGTGGGGAAAGAGGAGCCCTAATACACTGTTGGGAATCAGTATGGTGTTTCCTAAGAAAGCTAAAAGTAGAACTAGCCCATGACCCAGTAATATTACTTCCAGGCATTTTCCCAAAGGAATGTAAGTCAGGATATCATAGCAGCACCCCAGCCCAGATCTGGAAACAGCCTAGATTCCCTACAACTAACCAGCAAATCAGGACAATGTGGAGCGTGTATGTGCACACACACATACATGAGTGTTAGTCAACCATAAAGAAGAATAGAAGTTGTCATTTGTAGGGAAATGGATGGATCTGGAAGCCATCATATTAAGAAAAGTAAGCCAGGTTCAGCAGGACAAAGGTTACATGTTTTCTCCCATATGTAGATGTTAAACCTAAGATGTAAACACAAGTAAACACATACATGATCATATACATATATACATGATCAATCTGACTGTGGTGCATGCATGTAAGAGATACCATAATAATACCCTCTGAAAAATTATGAAACACTTTAATGAAAACAAATACTAGGAAGCTGAAACATTTTGTGTGGGATGCAGGCACTAGTGGGAGGAGGAGGAGGAACGGAGGCGGGAAAGGAGGTGCATGCGGTCAAAATATTTTATGTACATGGCTGAAAATAGAACAAGGAAACTTCCTGAGACTAGCTTGTGAAGAGATGGAGGGGAGGAGGGAGAAAGACAGAGATGTAGATATAAATGGACATGTTGGGATGAAACCTCGTGCATGACTGACAGATGCTAATAAGAATGAATCATTTAAAAATAAAGCACCAAAAAGGCAAATAAATGAAGACCCACTCACTGATGCAAATCAACCTGAGGGAAAGAATAAGGTACTATGAAAAGGGAAGATGAGGGGCAGAAGATTAGGGAAGGTTCCTTGGGGTAACAGGCTGTAGGAGGAAGGCGTATCTAGCTGCAGGTACAGGAGAGGCAGGTGCAGGAGAGGCCCAGGTCCGCCTGACCGCAGGAGCGGCCGTGGCGGCTGTGTAGACTGGGGTGAGCAGTGGAACTTCTACCGGGTGCAGGTGTTTAGGGACAAGAACTGATCCTGGTACCTTGTAGGATGTGATGTCAGGGTCCAGCAATGGGCCTCAGGGAAAGGGACGGGGGGGGGGGACAGGCCATGGTGGCCACACGTTGGGAAGGCCACTTGGCGTCAGTGGGGCAGGGAAGTGGGCAGCCTGGAGACAGAGGGCTGGGCCCAGGAAGGAGAGCAGGCGGGGTGATGGTCACGTGGACTTCCCTCTACCAGCTGTCCCAGGGGAGGCACTGTGCGCCCAGCCCACACCCAGCTGCACCTCCCACTGTCTGGACCACAGTGGACACTAGGAGCCTCTAGGTCTGAGTGGTAAACTGTGGTGGGCCCAGCATGCAGACAGTGTTCCTCTGCTGTGCCCATCTCTGGCCTGTGGCTGCCCAGGCTGCATGCTGGAGTTGCATTCACCTCTCTTCCAACTCTCAGAGATGATCAGCACAGATCCCTGCGGATCCACCTTCAGAAGACCTCCCCTCACAGCCCAGCCCTCCCCTCTCAGTCCTCCCCACACAGCCCAGCCCTCCCCTCACAGCCCAGCCCTCCCCACACAGCCCAGCCCTCCCCTCACAGCCCAGCCCTCCCCACACAGCCCAGCCCTCCCCTCACAGCCCAGCCCTCCCCACACAGCCCAGCCCTCCCCACACAGCCCAGCCCTCCCCTCTCAGCCCTCCCCTCACAGCCCAGCCCTCCCCTCACAGCCCAGCCCTCCCCTCACAGCCCAGCCCTCCCCTCACAGCCCAGCCCTCCCCTCACAGCCCTCCCCTCCCCTCACAGCCCAGCCCTCCCCTCACAGCCCAGCCCTCCCCTCTCCAACAGGTAGCAGCATGCTGTAGCACTGTGAACACGCGAGTCAGCCCTTCTCGCTCGCTATCCCCAACGGCTCTTGAGCAAATGCTGGGTGTGCAATAGCCTGTCACTTTCTAGACCCTCACCTGCCCTCCTTCAGCCCGGAGCTCCATGGAGTCAGCCCCAGGTCCATGGAGTCAGCCCCAGGTCCATGGAGTCAGCCCCAGGTCCCACCTTCTTCTTAAGTTTACGCCCAATGTGCCTGGTCTTCCTCACCTAGTACCTCTAACCTCTAACCTCCAACCTCTAGCCTGCAGGAGGAACATCACTGCTGTCTGTTGCATTTGCTGGCTGTCTCAGCATCACAAGAGTGTATCTGCCCCAGAAAAGACTTTTTTAATGTGTTGAATGGAAGAATGCCTCAGTTCCTAGACTCACTCTTTCTATCCTCCTTAAAGGGAAGGAAAGCAAGCTTCCTACTTTATAAAACAAAGCTGAAGGGGCTCTGGAGACCTCAGAGCTCCTTTCTAATGCAGATTAGAAGCCCAGGGTTTGGGGTTCTCAGGCAGAGGCTTCCCCTGGGCACACTAATGCTGTGATCCTGCAGAAAGGCATCTGTTAGGACTCATTAATTCTTAGCACTCCTTTCCTAGGATCCCTGGAGCTTCCAGAACTCTGGAGGCTGTAGGCTGAAAATGGGAGGCTTCACAGCCAACTCTGCCGACAGGCCCAGCCTTGCAGAGAACAGATACCCACCTTCCCCAGACCACAGACTCCACACAGCAAAAGCACCTAGGAAACAAACCATCACACAGACTGCGGTGCCCCGGAGTGTCCACACCCACCCCATTCCGAACTGGGCCGGGGAGGGGGGAGGGGGGACGCTCTGCTGTCACCGGACCACAGACTCCACACAGCAAAAGCACCTATGAAACAAACCATCACACAGACTGAGGTGCCCCGGAGTGTCCACATGCACCCCGTTCCGGACTGGGCCCGGGGTGGGGGGGACGCTCTGCTGTCACCAGAGGTGAGGAGCACAGGTGCTCAAGCTCACGGTGCAACCTCAGGCCTGCTGCCCTGGGTTCAGGGCATCTGTGTGTGACCTTTTCTCTTTTGTTTTCCTTAGGTGATTTCTTTGAGAACAGGCTTCAGAGGGCTATGTGTTCTGTGCCCTGGACCCAGTGCAGTGCCTAACTTGGCCCTGACTCCCCACCAATGGGCAGCCAGGTCCCCAATTATAGCCTCTTCAGCCTCTGCCCACTGATGGGCAGTTGGACCCAGGCCTGCAGCTTCCTGGCGTGTCCCCAGACCCGCTTCCAACTCTCAACCTAACCAGATCAACCAAAGAGTCACATAGGCCCCTCAAAACGAACAACCGTGTAGCATGCCCTTTTGGGGAGCCCCCGCCCAGGTTCCCTATGCTGCTAACCTCTACCAAAAGCCCCTGTTTCCTGCTGCCTGCCTCCCCTGCCTGTCTTCTACACTCACCAAGCCCCCTGATCTCATCTGGCTATGTGTGAGTCACAATCCCCTGCAGCCAGAGACCTAGGCTGCAGTGACCAGAGCCCAGGCTCTCCCCATGCCCACAACTCCCAACCCCAGGTAAGCCTCCCCATATCCCAGAGCCTTCACTGCCCGTCTGCCAGCCCGGTGGCAGGACACATGGATAGACACTGCATTCTCCCCCCCCCCCATCTACCACAGCAATTTGTCCCCTACCTGTGGTACTCTCTGTGTGGAAAATGGCTGCCCAGCCCACTTGCCTCTTCCACAGGGGTCCCTGGACAGAGACAGGGCTTTAACCAACTGGCATTGTTTTGGACATCTATACTAGTAGGGATCGTGGCTTTCCTCAGCCACTCTGACACTGCCTTGCCCTGCTCATCTGTGTTTGTGCCCAAGGCTGTGGGTCAAGACAAGGGGCACAGACCTTATGAGTCAGTACACCAGTTCTGACTTTCCAACACAGATTGCCACTTGCTTTTAGCCTCTCCTCCAGGTAGCCCAGGTCTGGAATGGGAGGAGAAGGAACTGCTGGGCTGACCTCGAGCATCTTTCCTCCCGGACACACTCTGGCCCTCCTCTCTTCTCACCCTCACGGCCATTAACTGTGGTTCCACCGCGTTCCCACACCCTCTGCCTGCGTCCATAACCCATCAACTTGCTAGTTCAAAGCCGCCTTAAATCCCCAAGTTCTAGAATAGTATAAAGGCTCAATATTTCAACTACATAGACCAAATTTTAAGGAACTAGTAACCAGAAAAGGACCTGAAATTCTAACTGAAACTTCTGGATCTATCTTCGGCCAAAATGACACTGACAGCTGTGAGGGCAACAACAGCCACCATAACTCAGGGACTGGTCATTTCTCTGCATTCTGCACACTGTATCTTAGGAGGAGCTGGGGAAGAGCAATAAGAAGAAAGCCTCACTCAACCAGACTCGTATAACATTGATTCCAAAACCAGGTAAGAGAATCTGCAAGGTTTAGGAAAACCACGGGCCTACTATCTTATAAACATTAGTGTAAAAACCATAAACCACTTGCTGCGGTTTGGTCGAGGCTTGCACAGTGAGGGTCCATGTGTGGGAAACCAGGTCTCGGTGAGATGCAGTGAGAGGAGAGAAGCCAGGTCTTGCTGAGGTGACGTGGAAGTAGATAGGCCATGGAGCCTAGAGGTCAGAGGGCACTCACCATGGAAGACAGCCTTTGGGGACCCTTGTGAGCGGGTTATGATGCAAGCCTGCATCTGACACTGGCATTACACTCTGGCCTGCTGTCTGATGGACGAGCCCCTGCCATTGTGCTGCTGTTATCCATGAGGTGAAGCCATCTACGGTGTCCTCATCAGAGCTTGCTACCCTGTGTACTCTGGGTGGGGTACAGAGCTTGCTACCCTGTGTAGGACTTTCAATCTCCCCTCAAACCTTTTCTCTATAAAGTAGTCTGTCTTGGACCTGAAGTAGCTGAGAGTAACAGGGAAATTTCTTTTAGATTGCCAATGAATTAAAGAAGCCATAAGGGAAATGATAAAACACTTTGGATGCAGGAAGATGAACTCAACATACCAGAACTATGGGGTGCAGCAAAAGCAGTGCTAAGAGGACACTTTTTAGCTGCAAGTGTATCAGTCAAGATCAAACACCTGCCGCAGACAAGGAGATTCTCTGTGCTTTCCTTTGGGAGCCAACAGTTTAAAATACCACAGTTTGTAGCATGTTCAGCACAATCACCCTAACCCCAAGTCCATGAATGAATGAAAAGATATGCTGGCTATAAAGAGGCAGTGAGGAAAGGCCGAGCCTCCTGTGCCATCGCCCTCGCAGGGGCCACCTTCAGAGAACTCTTGGGATAAGTACCCAAGCAGGGAATAGTGCCCAACTCCAAACAGTTCTGGAAAAGGGAAGTTGGAAAGACTCACAAATGCAACAAGGTGCCTGGAAGGACTCACATACGACAGGGTGGCTTGAAGGACTCACACCATGCAGCGGGGCGACATCATGCAGAGGGTAGCTAGAAGGAGTTACACACGCAGCGGGGCGGCTGGAAGGACTCACCCCGGGCAGCGGGGGCCTTCGGGCCTTACCGAGCTATCTTGTCACTACAGGACATGGTGAGCAGCCTTTCACCCTGCAGCACCCCATCCCAGGTCTGGATGCTGGCGTTGGAGCGCACAGGGATTGTCCCCTCTCCAGACTCAATTTTGGTCCGTAGTTGTCCCCTTGCTTTACGATTTGGATGTCTGTCTGCTGGCTCTAAGAGAAAGAAAAGGTTCAGACCCACAGGGAGTAAGCTATCAACTTACTGTGCAGCAGGATCTAACGATGCCCTATGAACTTAAAACAGCTTGTACACATGCTTGTGTCATACGTACAATACACATACAATATAATTTATAAATTATAAAACTGATTTAAAAGGATGTGATACAAGCCAAATTTACAAAAGTGGTCTCCGTGGGGTTTAGGAGAAGGCAGTTAGCATTTTGACTGAAATAGTTTTTTCTGTCATCAATGATGAGTGGAAGCAAACAGGACAAAATGCTAACATCTACTAATTCTGAGTGACAGATAGTTGGTGTTCGTTGTACTTGAACCCTCATGTAGACATATGCAGAAATAAATCTATGGGAAGTATGGTCATTCTAGGGTCATATAAACATGGGTGATTTTTATTTCCCTTTTCATATTTTGAAAATATTTAGCAAGTGACCACAGTAAGTCTACTGCCTTTATCGTTAAGGGAAACAATATGATCAAATGTCCTACACAGAATATATAATGATGCTTAAGCATGGGAGCAGAGATGGCTGTGAATACCTGTGACACCAAGGCTGGCCTGGCCTTCAGGGTGAAGCCTGTGCGGCCAGCAGTGTCTCATGGCACCGGCCTCCACCGGCTTCTGGGAGAGCAGCTTCCCACTCCCATAGCTCACCAGAAAAATGAAGGACCACAGTCATCTGACCCGGAGGTAGATTAAATAGGGTTCTCATTTTGATCTCTTATCTCCCCTCCATTCTAATTACTGGGCTAATCAGAAATTAGCCCAATCAGAATTAAAATCTGCATTTTTATTTACAATTTACTAATTAAACTTCATAGAGAAGAAATAATTCATGCTCTCCAGACCCCACATTGCACCCACACCCAGTATGTAGCATCTGTCTACATGTGATAGATCTTCCTTAGGCCTATGGACTGCTGGAGGCTGCCCTCATACCCTCTAGCACTGGCTCGTGGGGAGAGAAGATTCTGGCGTCCCCGCATGGTGACGTGCTGATGTATAGATGGAACTGCACGGTGTCCTTCAGGCGGAATCCACCTCGCTCCGACTTCTGAAAGATGGACCTTTTCTGATCATCCTTGCTACTGCATGAGAAAAGGTACAAAAAAGATGTTGAAAGCTGTATCATTCGCATTTGGCGTCTGGCAGGTTTTCTGGAGGGGAGAGGTGAGCTTGATCTGGAATCTCTGCTAGACATGTCTATGGTCGTCAATAGCTCAGGTCCATTCCCTACCAGACATGTCACTAACTGTAGGCCACCACTCCTCAGCCGTGATTTCACAGCAGAAAGACAACAGGGAGGAAATGGTCTTACTAAGAAAAGTAGTCAGGTCCATGATTTGTTCTGATCAGACACGGGATTAGAATGAGAACCACCATTATGGGGTATTTAGGAAATCTTGTTTTTATCCATACTGAAAAAAAAATCACAGGGTCTCAAACATGGCCTATGTTCCATATGAATGCCTACTTCAGGCATAAATGTGCATGTATTTTTAAGTTTAGTCCACTCTATTTCATGATGGAGTATCATGGAAGAATGAGATTCAGTCAGCAGCACGGGAGAGCAGGGTCTAATGCATGTCACAGGAGAACAGGACTCAGCCTCAGTATTACTAATACAGCTAGCATTTTGAGAACTTCTCAGGGTATACAGGAACAAAAAACTCTGTATTGTTTTCTGATAGAAGATACTAAAAACAGGTTCCTTCTCAGGTGCCAGTAGCTCACGCCTGTAATCCTCGCTACTTGGGAGGATAAGGGGTCCGAGGACTGCAGTTTGAAACCATCCCAGGCAGGAAAGTCTGTGAGACTTATCTCCAATTAACCAGAAGTGGAAGTGGAATGTGGCTAAAGTGGTAGAGCACTAGCCTTGAGCAAAAAAGCTCAGGGACAGTGACCAGACCCTGAGTTCAAGCCCCAGGACCAGCACATACACACAAAATAGCTTCCTTTTTGTTTGCTGCTAAACTTACTTTAAGTAAAGGTCAAGTTGTGCATAGAGGAACCTGAGCAGGGACCGCCGGGAGATTATCTCTGCGTGGCAGTCATTCAGCGCGAGGCCACGGTCACTCATGTATTCACCGTTGATACACTTTGTCCCTGTTGAAACACTTATCACTTTGGCGTCTTTGACGTCTGTGCCTGAAAGACAGGAGAGCAGCTGGTGTCGCACAGAGACGGGGGCTGTGAGACCACTCAGATCCCTGAGTTCCCATTCTTAATACAGCCTTTTCCCTGGAGCACACACCCCTGGCATCTAGGCAGGGAGCACCATGCAAAGGTACTACCTGTCCTGGAAGGAACCTCCCAAATGAAGATTCAAAGCAATAAAGAGAGATCAGGTGGTCCATTTCTGTAATCCCAGCTGCTTGTGTAAAGTGAAATTAGGATTGTGGTTTGAAACTAGCACAGGCAACAAATTAGCAAGACCCTATTTTGCTAAAAAGCCACAGATGATGGTGTGTTCCTGACGTCCCAGCTCTGGGGAAAGCACAGGCAGCAGGCGGAGCATAGTCCTGGGCCAGCCCTGGGCAAGAAGGCAAGGCCTTATCTGAAAAATAACTAAGGCACAAAGGACCGAGGACGTGGCCCAAGTGGTAGGGGACCAGCTCAGTAAGGACAAAGTAATGAGTTCAAACACCTGTTATTCAAAACAAAAATACTCCCCCCTTCCCCCCTTGCTGAAAACAAAAACCCTGTAAAGGTTGGGAAGAATGGCTTGAAGGCAGCTAAGGGGGAGTGACCTCCAGAGAGGGGTTGCTCGGGTACCAGCCTTGCGAGGTCACTGACTCAGACAGGACATGTGGACATAAGTGAGGGCTGGGTGTGACTCACAGCAGACGCTGGCTGGCGTGAGGCCTGGGTTCCATCCCTGGCCTGGCAAAAGAACCCTGAGTGTGGCCTCCCAGCAGGTCATACCCCGGCACAGCCAAGGCAGAGCCACTGCACGGGAGATGACAAGGTTACTAGCATGGGGAATGGGGGGGGGGGTCTCCCTGGCTGGTGCGCATTCTTCCTCCAGCTCCACCTCTCTGCTCTGCGGCCTACATTCCTATCCAGGCTAGGCCAAGATCGTCCCACGCTGCCCCCTCCACCCCCGGGAGCCAGGCACTGGTCAAGCGTGCGGCTCTTCATCCTTGGCCTTAGCAACCACGGAGATGATGCTGCTGTCTCCACACTCCGTGGGTATAAAGGAGGAGGGCAGCAGTTCCTTCACCGCTGGAAACTTCTAAATAATCTAATGGGGCAACTACTATCCCGAACTGTGCTTTCCCCCACAGACTTTGTGGTCTATCTAGATGTGCTGTTGGAGCCACACAGATCTGGCAGAAATAACACTAACTGAGAATGCAGACGATTTCCAGCTGAAATGCAAGTAAGTCAGTAGTGTGCTTTTCCCTGAGCAAATTGAGGCCAATCACATAATTGAAGACAAGAGTTGCTAAAATTTAACACAGTATGCTTTCTCCAAAGTCAAGACTCAGGTCAAAAAGCTGAGTATTTAGTCAGGTGGCAGTGTCTCAAGTTTGTAATCTTGTAGCTAATTGGGAGACTAAGAACTAAAGGATTGTGGGTTAAAGCCAGGCCAGACAGAGAAGTTCAAGAGACCCATAGTGAGCACGGTGGCATGTGCCTGTCATACAGCGGCATGAGAGGCTGGGTCTGGAAGGTCCATGGCTCTAGGTCAGCTCAGATAGGAAAGTCTGCAAGATTCCCTCTCAACCGAGGGAAGCTGTCATGTGCTGTCATCCAGCAACTGCAGGAAGCCTGAATCAGTAGATTGCACGCTAGGTAGCTAGGTATGTGCCTAGACAGGAAGTGAGACCTCATCTTAAAAATAACCTGAGGCAAACAGGACTACAGGTGTGGCTCAGTAGTGGAATGCCTGCCTAGAAGAGGCTCTGAGCTCGAATCCCAGTTTAACAAGGAAGGTTTTATTACTTTGTTGGTGCTGGGGAATGAAGTCTGGCTTTCTGTCTGCAAAGCAAGTGAGTTCCCACTGAGCTACGCCTCAGCCCCGACAGGAAAAAGGCGCGTTCCTATGCTTTTGTTCAGCAGATGCTGCCCCTCTACCTGCATACAGAGATGCTGTCCCTACCCCTGCATACGGCAGGTACAGGCATAGAAAGTAATTCCCGGTGGTGTCACAGGGCCTCTCCAGACTGACAGCATCTCACAGCTGTCAAACATGGGAGTGGGCATGCAGATAGAGCACAACACACTTACCTGTGGTCATGACCACTCCAGCAAGCACTTTCCTGCGTGCGTGAGGTGAGGAGAAGTTTTCTGTCAGGTCACCAAACTTACCCAGCACCAGGCGTGAGACAGCATCTGCCAACACCTAGTGAAGCACAGAGAGCAAGGTTAGAGTCAGTGTGTTCCCGGGCTGCGTCCAGTCCTCCCTCCCACCAACATGCACTGTGACTTACACAGGGATGCACACCGCTTCTCCTCCAGAAAACCATTAAGGGTAAAGGCAACAAGCAAGTGTGCACGTGTGTGGGCATGTGTATGTGTGCACATGGGTGTGCATGCATGTGTATGTGTGCATACATGCTATGTATCAGTATGCACACATGCACACATTGCTCTCAAAACATTCTTTGGAAACAGATGTCTCAGGGTCCTTCAAGGCTCTGGCTGGGAGTCCTACCTCCCAATCCTCACACACACAGAGCCCGATCTCACAAGGGGAAATTGAGGCACAGAGAGGCCTGCACTCCGCTTCCCACCCCACGCTGCTCTGCCGCACGCAGAGGCTGGACTCCCCTGGTTGCACTTTTAGAGACAGCAGAGAGGCTCCTCTCCTGGCCCCCTCAAGGGTTTGAGGCCAGCAGTGGGCAGCAGTGTGGCCAAGGGCAGCCTGGAAGTGCAACTGAATAAAGATGTTTGCACAGAACCTTGCCCTCAAAGGCACACCGGCCGCTGCTGGGTGTCCCTGTGTCCCCGCACCCACAAAGGCTGGCCGGGCTCACTCACATGCGTGAGCTCCGGGCACATCCTGGAGCCCGAGAAGGGCTCTCCCTGGGATGAACGACACGAGGGCATACCCACCGGTGCTCAGGAGGGAGGTCTGGACACAGTGCTGGAAATGCCTGTCTAAAGGTGGGGGGCATCACAGAGGAAACACATTTCTCAGATTTTACAGTCTTTTTTTTTGTTTTTGGCCAGTCTTGGGGCTTAACTCAGGGCCTACTATACCACTTCAGCCACGGCACCACTTCTGACTCTTTTGAGTAGTTTATTGGAGATAAGAGTCTCACGGGGACTTTTCTGCCCAGCCTGGCTTCAAATTGCGATCCTCAGATCTCAGCTTCTTGAGCAGGTAGAGTTACGGATGTGAGCTACAGGCGCCTGGCTTTTGTAGTCTTTCTCTGGTGGCTTAGGTCTTGGAAATGATGAGTCTCCAGTGTTTGGGACAATGGCTGTTGGGTCGAGGTTTGATGAGCCAAATGAGACCAACATACTACTAACCTTACACACACGTTCAGACAATCGCACTGCCACTGGCAAACCTAATGTTGCCCTTAACAGAAGACTTCCAAAATAACAAGGAAAGTCACGCTCGTTCTAGCGGACAGCCTATTTACGATAATGCTGTTGGCAGGATGTTCTCCACCTGTCTCTGCACCAGAAGTCACCAGTGAGCCTCAAAGGGTGGCCGCACAGGTTCAGAGTGACAAAAGCCTGTGGCCAGGTTCTCATGACCTCAAAGGAACAGCAGTAGCACACACATGACATGGGTGAGGAGAAGGATTGGACAGAAGTGGGCTGCGGGAGCCGTCCCGAGCCAGGATGCCAGACACAGGACAATGCCTTCGAATTTACTCAGTGGGAAAAATGACAGTAGACATGCCGGACACACCCAGGAAATGCCAGCTCCCGCTCTGCAGAAGGCCAGGCCTCTCTGCAAGCACTTAGAGGGTGGTCTGCAGAGGACAGGAGCTGGTGGCCTTCGCCGGAACCCAGAGCCTGTGTAGCCGTGGGACACCCGGGCAGCTCATGCCCCCTGTGGTTCATGAAGTGACTGCTCTCTAAACTGGAGGGGTGAGTGGAATGACAAAGCAGCGTGCTCCTAAAAGCCAAGCCACACATCCCAGCAGCACTGCTCAGCCTCAGGCACACACAGGGCTCCGGGACAACACTCAACAGTGCCATGTGGGCAGGGTGCACTACAGCAGGGCACCAGTCATCACGCAGCCACTGCTGTCTGATTTTAGAACCTTCCCCCCACGCCCTGAAGCCCAGGAAGGCAGAACTGTAGAAGACCAGGAACACCTGTACTGAATCCTTCCAGGCTCACACCAGGAAAAAGCTAAGCTTGCTCCCACTCTTGAATGTGCATTTGAAACTTGTAATGAAGAGGCATTGAACCCCAGCACAACCCTCCCAGGACCGGTCCTGGTACTCTGAAGAAAGAGCGGCGCTGCCAGGCCGCTCCGGAAGGCACAGAGGTGGCAGGAGACCCAGCTCACCGCCCCCACGCGGGTGGCGCTGGACTGGGGTCCAGGCTCTGGTGCTCAGCAGCTTCAGAAGGTGCAGGGGGGCCCTGCCGTCCAGGTCCCTCCCAGGACCCCCGCCTTTTAGGCCAGAGATTTGATCCTTCCACCAGAAGCCCTACAGCAGGCAGCCATACCAGGGAGGCTGGCTAAGGCCTTCTCCCTTAGGGGCTCCCGGTAACACTGCAAAGCCTCTGGTACGTGGGCTCCAGAGTAGCTCAAGTGGCTTCAGTGGTCTGACCCCACTCCATGAACATTAAGAGGGGACAAGTCACTTCAGTTGGTCTGACAAACTCAGGCTGAATATTTTACCCACTAATAATCCTAAAAATAAAAAAAAAAATCACCGGGGACCTAGAGCCTCTGGTTTGTAAAGTTACACAGGCCCTGGCAATTCTTGGAGGAATGACCGAAAGGAGTTAATAGGGTAGGAAATACTTAGATCCTAAAAAACAAAACAAAAAAAAAACAGTAAAATACTTCTGTATTCCTTTCAGCTCGTGTTGTATCTGGTAGTTTCCTTCTTTTAAAACTGAGAGCTATGTCAGCTCAGACCCAGCTGCATGAGCAGCTCTAGCTGCGTCACAGGCAGGAGAGAGGTGGCCTCACACACCGGGACGCAGGAAAAGGCAAGCTGTCCACTGCCGTGCTTGATTCACTCTGGCCAAATGTGGCGTGCGTTACCTGCACATTAAAGATCTGGAGGAAAGCAGTGGAGGACCCTGCCATCCATGCCCCTCCCCATGGCTAGATACCACTAGACAGCTTTTTAGGTAAAAAGGAAGCCACACAGAAGAAAGTCAAAAGCATAATTTTTTTTAAACAATAGACCAGCAGAGTTTTGGGTTTCCAAGAAGAGAAGCAAGACCTAGTGAACATGGTGGGGCCCACAGACACAACCTGAGCCCCAGAGAACCCCTATCTTCTGATGCCACTGGGTGGGAGACAAACGTCAGCATGGCTGCTCACATCCAGCTGGAGTAGAGAGAAGCCCCATGGGTGCACAGAGACGCCCAGAAGCTAGCAGATTCAAGATCACCGCTCCCCACCACCATGGCTGCTTCTCTAAGCCCAGCTCCTAGCCTTAAAAATGCAACCTGTCACTTGGGAGCACACAGCAGTGACCCCACCTGGGTTTCCACTGGTGAGCTGGCCAGCAGCTCTTAGTTTATGTAGAAGACTGCACCCTACAATGACCATTCAAAGAAAAAACCACCTACTGGAGACAAAGGTCCAGTGTTTGGGGCTCGCCTGCCCTTCTCTTGACAAACACTTGGTGTGGGGTAATGGCCTGCTTCAGTAGCATGCTACCACGTCCAGCTGAGCGGGGAGGGTGGTGTGGATCTCAAGTGGACCGTGCCTCATGGTCAGGGCTCAGATTTCTCCACCCTACACCAGTACAACCCCACCTCACAGCAGAAGGCCACCATGCTTCTCAGGGACCATCTGACCATGGTAGTGAGGAGAGTCCCTGGCTGGACTCACTAGTGACAGTCCTATTTCTGCTGAGGACACGGGGTCCCGGGCAACACCGGAAGCCCAAGGCAGCAGCATCAAAGTGTCACCAAGGGCAATGCCACTGGCTTTACAGCACATACCCTTCCTTACCTGCGGCAAGTGCAACTGGAGCCCTTCGCTGGGGACAGGCTGGCGAGACGGTGTCTGGTCCAAGTGCATATTGAAGATAGTGGCCAGGGCAGACTGGGCGGCCCGGGCCTTGGCGAGCTTCTTGTTTCTCCCAGAGCCTTCGAAGAACTGACCGTCCACGACCACGGACATGACGAAGCTCTTGGCGTGGCTCTCCCCACTCTCGGAGAGGAAGTCGTATTTGAGCCCTGGGCGCAGCTCATTCAAGATCATCACGGGGTTCTTCCCACTCGGGGGTGGGAACGGAGGGGGGATGGGCAGGGGGGGCTGGGCGAGGCTGGCAGGCACTGGGGACGCCGACAGGCTGAGGTCCCCACTGGAGCTGAAAGAGTCATCTCCGTTGGAACCCACATAGAAGGGCGGCTCTGACTTGTCCGGCGTCTCAAAGCCGTTGAAGAGCGTGTCGGGGAAGTCGGCCTGGTCAGACGTGAAGTCGGCGTTCACAGTCAGGGTCCTGCCCATGGCCAGGTGGGCCTCGGAGGCATTAGGAAACTGAACAAAAGACCTCAAGGCCTTCTCGGCAGCGTGGAGTTTTGCCTTCTTCTTTGTGGGGCCAGACCCCTCAAACACCTGGCCATTCACCTCCACGGACATGACAAACAGCGGGGCGTGCACAGGCCCTGTCTGAGACAGCAGCATGTACTGTAAGCCAGGCTTGATCTCATTCAGCTGCATCAAGGCGTTCTTGGGCAGCACAGGCCCAGGAGTTTTCCTCCGCTTCTTCAGGCGGTACTTGGAGTGGCCATTGCTGCCCTCCTCCAGGGACCGCTTCCGGCTGGTGCTGCCGCTACCCCCGTTGGAGAGCTGTGTGCCCTCGCCAGGACCGGGTGCACTGCTGTCCCTGGGGGGCACGTTGTCCCGATTGCGGTTTTCCTTAACATCAGTGCTGCTGGAACCTGCGGTGCCCAGAAAGAGTAACTTACAACGCCTTCGTTGCAGGATCTTGTAAATGCAAAATTTATAGATTCCTTTATTTCTTTGTAACTGGGTAAGTGATGTGTGTGTATACATTGCCTTGCTCATGCAAACACGAGGAACTGTCTCAGCTCAAAGAACTCTCGGGCTCAGCTGAAATGAGTGATTTGAGGTTTGCTGCCTAAGAGCTACTCCCTCTGCTAGTTAGTACACAAACAGCTTCTGCGTGGAATACAGCCATGTGCAAACACATTTTCTCTCAGCCTTCCCTGTCAAGGCCAAGTGTTCCCACATTGACCGCAGCATCTCTCAAAAGAGGAAGCACAATTTAAAACACACATTCCCAAGTTTGTGTCTAAGGTTTAAAGTATCAAATCAACACACGTGATTATTTGATTTAGTTTATGAATTGGTCATAGAAACTGTCATTATGTAGAGTATTATGACTTAAAATTTTTTTAAGAATATGGCTTTACTTTTTAGTACTGATTTGATTTTTCATTGTATTTGGGGATATTTGCCTCAGAATCTTTAACACATTTTATCATAAAACTATATATAAGAGAAAAATACAGAATTATAGGCTACAATTTCTTAACTTCATAAATGCACCTAACTTTTTTGGCAGTAGGTGTTCTACTGCTGGTCTTTGCCTCCAGGGCCTGCCATGAATTGGTGACTTTGAAGTAATTCTTGGTTTTGGTGGTAGTAGCGTTTGAACTCAAGCCATATGCCTGGGCAGCAGCATGGCAGGCCGAGGCTAAGTCCACAGCCTTTCACTTATTTCTTTAGTTATTTTTCAGATAGGATCTCCTGTTGGTATTCAGGGCCAGCTTCAGTAGTATGCTACCGCATCCCGCTTATTAACTGAGAAAAGGTCTTACTAACTTTCGCCCAGATGGCTTTGAACCTCAATCCTCCCTAGCTGGGATTACAGGTCTGGGCTACCCTACCAAGCTTAAAATGATTTTTTATCTTCCATTTTAAAGATATTTCATGTTTAAAATTAATAAAGATAATTGGTAAAATAGACATCATTTTGATTTTTAAAAGGGGAAGTGAGGATGGGGGACAGAATCTATACCAGTTCCTGAGAGGCTCAGGCAGGAGGCTCAAGGTCTCCAAGCCAGCGTGAGCTTTGGGAGACTCTATCTCAAAAACAAAAACTATTTTATAAAAAGGAAGATATGAAAGCATTTACTCCTTCCTTTAAGTTGATTGAACAGTCTGAAAAAAAAATTCCTTTTTCATCCATTAGGCTTACAAGCCCTTCATATAAGGCTTAGGATATCACAATGTTGTAAATGACTCACCAGTTGCTTCCAAATATTCACAGAAATATTGAGCAAAATCTTCTGTAAAATTGTGAGCATGTGGTCTGATATGGTGGCTTTTGGGTCTATTTCTAGTGTGGGATGTACAAGCAGTTCTACTTACACTAAGGATACTGAAAACTCTGGAAGTGTTGTTTGTCAGTGCAACCTATGAGAAAGGTCAATGTGGCTAAGACCCTGGGTCTTTGGTGTCTATCCGTGGGGTGAAGGACTGCGAATGTCCAAGGCCATGGCCATCCAGAGACAGCAATGATCACACTGGATGGACAAAGCCCAGGGGAAACTTCTCCCTAACACACACACCACTTCTCCCAGCTGACAAAGTAGATGGAATGGACCCTAAATTTCCATTTATAACATCCTCCAGCAAAAGGCCGGTAGGTTACTCCTTTCGGTACTCCGGGAACAAAGGGTTAAAAAGATAGAGCAGAGATGGAATGGAAAGATTAGTAAACGGACTGAGAACATTACATACATTGCTTACAGAATTACCAGCATAAAAAAATCACATTGTTATAAACATATTCGGGCATGCATTTAACCAAACATTTATAACCTCCAAATGCTTTCCTTTCAAACATAATAACCATCAGGACTGAATTGACAAATAGTTTTGAGAGTAGAAGAAAAACATGCTTCCTATAACATTTCACACTAATTCTCAGTTCTTATTCATAAAAGTACCATGTTACTGTTCATATTCTGTTTATTCAAAATGCTGCTAAGAAAAAGAAAATACTAAAACAAGGAACAGAGAGCCCTCTCACAGCTCTTTGGAGATATGTTTTCTCTCTGCACATCAGAAATGTGAAGTGAATCATAAAACTTTTTGCTGATTTCAAAATGATCGAAAGTGCAGGGCTGACAGACCCAGCAGCCAGTCCTTCTGTGACAATTGTTCTGGCAGGTTACCTTCCTAATGGCTGAGCTGCCAGGGGCTCGGAGAAGATGGCTGCACCTGCAGGTGACAGACCTAGCCTGGGCAGGTGGCCTTGGGGACACCTGCGGCACCCTCGGGGGTCACTGGGCTAGCATACTGCAGTGTGTAACAGAGCCCACCTCCAGACCTCCTCGGCACCACAGCACCCCCCCTCCCCCGGCAGGCCTCTCAGGTGCCACTGGCCTCTGGGTATGGATCAGATAAAGCAGGGCCAGCTGTGTGCAAAGTCATGGGTTCCAGTGGGACACGGGTGGCGTGTTCTTCCTGAGACACACGCCTATGTTAGCTAGAAAAGCGGAGTCTTCTGTGCCACTTCCCTGGCATGCGTGCTGCTGTCTGGGGTACTTGTGACCTGACTTATACACGTGCTCCCCGGACTGACGGTTAGCAGATGAGAAGTTAGCTCCTCACAATATCAAGGGAGAACGTCCATGCTCAAGGCCCTCCATCCCAGCAGCCCCAGGGAGGGGGAAAGGGCCCAGAATGCATGTTGGCCCACACTAGCCCGCAGTGTCATTCCAGTTTTTTAAGCTGAAGACCCTGTGCACACCCTTCCCTCCAAATGCAGGAATCGCCACTGTCTTTGCAGGGTGCCTTGTATGTGCCATCGTCCCCAACTGTGCGTCGGCTGGGTCAGTCTCCAAGGCTTTCTTCATTTTGCATGACACATCCAGAGTGTCACTCTAGCACCACGCTGTGACAGGGCTTCGCATGCGGCTCTGTGAGGCACCTAGAGGTGTATTTCTGGAATAAAAATGGTGGCCCCATGACGATAACGAGGAGTGAAAAATCTAGACAGGTGGCTGTAGGAAAACGTCCACAGTAAATAGTCATGCCTACGAGAAAACATACACGCCTCTGCCAACAGCCCATATCTCAGGAAACATCAAACTTACAAAGCGCTAAGAATTTAATGGGAAATTAGCTACGTGATGCTACGTGATAGGCCTAGATCTTACTCATGTTCTCTTCATCGTCTACGTCCATGGCAAAGTACTTCTGAGGACTTGACTGGCGGAGGCTGCTTCTGTCTGAAAGACAGCAAGAAGACACTTACTGTGACTACCATGAGGGCATCTAGTCTGCGGAACAATCTCAAAAGCACTGCAAATTAAAGGCAAAGATCATAAAACAGGAACGTCAGTCTGCCAATGGGATGGGACCCTCTCTTCCCAGCAAGGACTCTTGCCTCAACTGTTGCATAGAGGATGGTGGTTGATTTGCAAAGAGTCACAACAAAGGAGGACGAAGGCCAATGCCAAGGACCCCACTCAACTCCAGGGAGCGGAAGGGCCTCAGAGGGTCGCAGCCAGGGACGGGGTGGCAACCCTCCCCTGCAAGGTGGCCCAAAGCTCACCAGCCAGCCCACCAGCCCACCAGAGAACACAGCAGCATTCAAACCTGTATGCCATCAGGTCTTAGTTCTGAGTGCTCACCTGACCCCGTGCCTCCTGAAAGGGTCATACAGGTAAGGCTGCGACACGTGTAGTTGTCAAAGCCTAACCCAGTGTCTGAGCCAGGCACAACTTACCTTCTGCTTGGCTAGAGAAAATCCAGGAAATAGCCAAAGAATGACTACCTAATTATTAATAAATTCAAGGGTTTCCTCTTCCTGAATATCCCTCTTCATAAATACTTCTTTTCCTAAATACTTTGCAATACTGTACTAACAGAGTCTATAATGACAGTAGAAGAAAAAGAGGATTTTAAAGCCAATATTGCTTTGTGAACAAAATATTGTAAATATAAAAAAGGTAATTTCATGGCTTCTAGGAAATGGTTACTAAATGTATGTCTCATACATATTTCATCTGGCACACAAGCAGACTATCCATAGTTTTCCCACAGTCATTTGGCTAGCTTATCTGTCTGTTAATGTAACCTCAGTATATGTCTGTCAAATGTATTAGTAAAAGGTTAAAAGAGTTGGGCATTGGTAGCTTACCCCTGAAATCCTAGATACTCCTAGCTGAGAGCTCTGAGGATCCAGGTTCCAAGCCAATCCAGGCAGGCAAGTCTATGAGATTCTTATCTCAAATTAACCACCAAAAAGCCAGAAGTGAAGCTGTGGTAGAGCATTAACTTTGAGCCCCAGGAATGATGCATATATACACAAGTTGTGAAGACAACGAATAAGCATGTTTAAACCATTAACAATAATTATTGAATTTAACCCTTTTCACCAAGAAAGGATGATTTTTAGAGAAGTGTTATATGTTCTTTATGACTGTTAATGGTTTTATTTTAAATAGCTATTAAGCGACAGATTTGAAAACAGGAATAAACTGGCAGTGAGCTGAAGGAGAGATCATTTTGAAGCCAACGTTTTTTTAAAAGACAAATTGGTTGCCTATTTATTTAAAACAGTACTGATGTCTACCATCCCCCGGGAGCCCCAACAGCGTGATGGAGCACACGAGGAAATCCATGCCACCTCATCATGTGAACTCTGCTACACAAATAATCCCACTACAAGTTTCAAAAATACTCCTCTACAATGAGCCACTTCCCGCTCCTGGGAGTCTGTGGCCAGCTGCCCTTTGAGGATTTTATACACTGAGTGGTTGTGCAAGCACACTGTGTGCAAAGCATCTCACAAACCTGGTGTCTCTAGTGAAATGCACTAGAGACTGCTGCTCAGCAGCCAGTACTGAAGTGAAGGGGCTAGGGAACGGGAGAGGAAGGGGCAGCCAGGCAACGGCACAGGGCACAGGCAGCAGCCATGTCGAGATGGCACAGGCCATTACAACACCCGGGAGGGAGGAAAAGATAAGCACCATGAGTTCCCTTACCACAAGCAAAGTGTCCAGCAAAACCACACCCTGGGCGCCGGGCGCCGGTGGCTCACGTCCTGCCATCCTAGCTACTCAGGAAGCTGAGATCTGAGGACCGTGGTCCAAAGCCAGCACAGGCAGAAAAATTCGTGAGACTCTTATCTCCAATTAACTACCAGAAAACCTGAAGTGGCGCTGTGGCCCAAGTGGCAGAGTGTGTGCCTTGAGCTGAATCGTTCAGGGACAGCGCCCAAGCCCAGAGTTTAAGCTCTACAACCGACAAACAAAAAACAAAAAAACAAAAACCACACATGTGGTTTTGGACCTGTAAGCTCTGTAAGTTCAAAAGCTTTAGTTACACTGGCTAGAAGAGGTGAGAGTATCTGCCTGTCATGGAAAGTGGGAAATGTTTTCTTTGCTCTGCTAAGGGTCGCTGACCACTGGGCACTGTGGTCCGAGGGTTGGTGAGTGGGTGAGGGGCACAAAGGGAGAGTCCACGCCAGACCTGGTCCAGCCAGGCCCTCAGCCTCCTTGCCCTGATATGACCAGTAACAGCACACCTTCCCCTACACACCCCTGTGGCGTGCAGGCTGGCGAGCAGGCCCTCAGAATTTGGCATTGGGACACTGCCCACCCTCCTGATGCCGCTACCATGATCTGTCCAGCAAGAGGCCAGGCCAACACAAGCACTGGTCCCTGTCTGGTGTTGCTTCTCGTGGCACATAAGGTCCCTAATCTCACCAGAAATGACAAATAGCCACTGCAACGGTGTTGACCACAGCCAGCAGATGCAGGCAAACCGTCCCTGCCAAATATTTGGTCTTCAAGAGAATTAATCTGAACAGAAACGTATGCAAGTTGTACGTCAACCTGCTTTCTGTTACCCTCTGGTGCACATCTGCTGGAATCTTACACCTAATCGTAAAATTATCACCCAAGAGGGGCAATGTAGCAGAGTCCAATTTGCAGAAATTAGCAAAGATGTAAAGACCAGAGTCAGCATATTTTCTCAAGACAGAACATTTACCATAACCGGGTGATTAGCAGAAAATAAACCTCTATTTTTATGATTAAAAACCCCATAATGGTATAAATTAAAGTCACATCCCAAAGATTTTTTTAATAAATGAGAATACTGGGCACATAAAATCCAGACTATTCTACTGAGGCTTAATTAACTCTCCTCCCCACTGCAATGACTAAACAGAACGAAGCCTCTGGGACTGTTCCTAACAACGCCATAGTTACCGCTAGCAGCACAGGGCAGCTGCAGGAGGTGGACTGGAAGGAAACAGCCCTGAGTGCTACCCGTCCGGATGGGGTCATGAGATGCAGGCAGCGTCTTCAGGCCCTGCAGGGTCCACACACCACTACAGCCAGTCCACCCACTGCTCCAGGTCTGCAGGGAGAGGTGACAGACGCTCCCGTGCAGGAGCCCGGCTCGGTGGGGCCCAGCACCTCATCCCGGGGGCTCTGGACACGTGCCATACCAGTGACTTCCGCGAGGGACTCTGGGTACCCCTGGGGTGCCAGGCAGCCCTTCCGGCTGAGCCCAGTGGGGAAGGCTCCCTGAAAGCAATGCCAGTCTTCTTTGCTCAGCTTTCTAACAATGGCTGGAATCAAGAATACAGAGACGTACCCAGTTAAAAAGTGACAGATGAACATGAGCCAAATTCATAGAAGAAAAGATGCAAGTGGGCTTTAACAAGCTTACTTTTAGTTTTCTCTCATTCTCCAGGAAGCAAAGAACAATGCCAGTTTCCAAACTGTCAGCAAGGGTGGAAGAAAGGGAAGGAGGAAGGAGGGAAGGAAGAAGGGTGGCCGGCAGGGGAGAGAAAGAGAGACAGAGAGAAGAATGGAAGTCCTAAGCTGGCTGAGGTCCAGGGAGGCTTGCTGAGTGGTGAGCAGCTGCCTGCGTGTGTGCGTGTGCGTGTGCGTGTGTGTGTGTGCGTGTGTGTGTATCATCCTCCAAGGCAGGAGCCAGCCTAAGTCACTTCTGGTCATCAATACATAAAATGCAAAGCCTAAAATAGTCACTCAACTTCCAATTCAAATCCAGTACTAGGATTGGAAGGAAATTGCTGTCTTTGTTCATACTCAAAGATCCAGCTACAACCATTACCATCTTCGCTTTTTCATAAAGTTTATTTTGTGCCTATATTTCCTAATTATTGCAAAGAATCCACTCACCCATGCACCCATCTTTCCTAGACCTTCCTTCTACACACAGGTGGGCCTCAGAACTCCAGACACAATCTGCAGAGATCACAGAACACCTCAGCTTGCACAAGCTGCCTCTGCAGCCCATCCACCAGCCAGTATAGCCTTGCATTTCAGCGTCCCAGAGAACCCCACACCCTGCACACCCAGCGGATGGCCGCAGGACCGGGCTGCGCAGGGGACACCATGGAAGGTGCAATAGCTCAGGTTGCTTTGGGGACAAAGGTGAAGGAGATGGCGTCAGACCCCCTGCCTGGGGACATCAGACACACAGAAAGAGGCTGCGGGTGTACGTGGACAGAGGTTTCAATACTCTGATACAATTCAGCAAAATTGAGGCATTTATTGTATCATGTTATCACTATTTAAAGTTCTAAAAATGTCAACTTTATACCTAAGGTTAAATTATTTTCAGATGGCTCCTGCACTCCTATGTTCCATCTAGCCATGTTCCTCTGGAGGACTCTGGCAGCAATGAACTCTGAAGGATGAATGACAGCAATGGCAGGAGAGCACCCCCAAGGGAAGGGTCAGGGAGGAAGCTACTCCAGCCTGCCAGGGCTCTGTGCCCACAGTTGGTGTCTGGGTGATTTCACCTGCACTCTCCCAAATAGATGTTTCACTATGGTCACCGTGTGCTTGGGTGGGTCCTAGATTCCACACACGGAGAACACAGACAGACTGGTAGCCGCAATCAGGGTGGCCCAGGTCTGGACTCTGGGCTGATGTGTCAGGTGAGGACACAGGTTCATCACCCACGGGAAATTTGTCGCACTCTTCACGGCATGCACCTCTGCTTCCAGGTTGGCTCATTAAACTTCCCATGTGCTCCTCTGAATTCTCTGCCCTTTCTACTGACAGAAAGAGAGGCAACTCCAGGTGAATCTAGAGCTTTTATTAAGGAAAAGGGAGCTACAGAGCAAGGAAGCCGGGGCTCCGGGGCCACCACGAGGGTCAGCTGTCACGGAGCACTGGACTTGCTTCTCACATGGCTGCTGGCCATCTCGAGCCCTGCCCACTGAGTCCACACA